TGTTGATTAATCGATTAATGTACGCCCTTATTCATATTCTAATTCGCAAGATTTCTCAAAAAATCAGAAATGAACCGTATTTTATTTCATTTTTAGAAACGAATTTGTATATCTATCGATTTTGACGAATTTCATTTATTCGATGATTAACATGATGGTCTTTAAGCTGTTCCTACTTTCAGTAATCGGAAAACTCGATTTCTGACGGACATTCGTTAGGAGTTTGGTAAGCAAGATTTCATCACCATTTATTTCTAATAACTTGTTTGTTCGTTTAATGTATAACATTTATTAATTCTTTATTTTTAAATTCGTTCCTGTTAGCAATCAGAACAATCAGAAACAAAAACGTACCGATTTTCGCTTAATCATATTACTTTTATTATGATTGTATACATTGATATAAGTTCCCATTTGAAATAAATTATATTTACAACTATGATTATACAATCAAATTTTTGAATATATTGTAAATTGTAATTAATAAAGCGCATGTAGGCTGGAATTAAAACCATTATTTTTAATAATTTGTAATTAATAATGCGTAAATAAATATATAATAAATAAAATAGGTGCATCATAAACATTTTATAAAACCGATTTTACCAATCGGCTATTACAAATCAGCTATTAATCAGTCATCAATACATTATCAATCGGTCATTAATACGCTACCAATCGGTCATTAATCAGATACTGCCCGATTGCTGTCAGATTAAGCAAATCCAATAAGTCATCAATCAGTTATCAATTGACCATTAATTGACCATCGTTCGGCCATCAATTGACTCTCAATTTGTCACCAATCGGGCAGCCCGGATGATAGCCGGTTGTTGTCGGATTTTGGCGGAAATCAACTATCAATCGGATACCCGATTGATGTTTAATTGGTGACTGATTTGGCATCTTTCGACCTGTGTTATTGATTCTAAAATAACCTTATTCCTTAATTAAATTGCACTATTTTTAAAATATAATATGCTTATCCTTATTCCTTAATTAAATTGCACTATTTTTAAAATATAATATGCTTATCCTTATTCCTTAATTAAATTGCAATGTTTTAAAATATAATATAAAATTACAATTGCCTGCAT